AACTATAGCAGTTAAGCTAGATGTTACTGATATCATTTTTAGTGATTTGACAGAGTTTAAAGGACTAATCGAGACTTACCTAGCTGAAGAGGTTCTAAGGCTTAGATAAGAGACATACCATTCTTTGCTTTAACCTTTCGTTCTCACGCGTCACGTCATGAATGAACAAAAAAAAAACCACAACTTAATCCACACGGACATTTTAAGGGCCCAAACTGTTTTAACACGCTTTGGTTAGAGGTGTTTGGCATGAGAAGTGATTGCAGAGGCGCCTGCAGACTGACTATCTTAAAGGTTTGTAAAGGATTACTTTTGGTCATGCTCCAAGTTTGGAATTTGGAGGAGTGGTCATTTATTGTTTCAGCTATGCTGGAATTGTGGCATCTTGCTTGTTTCTCCCCTCCATCTATTTATGATATATGCGTTGCAGTTGAACTATGTAGTGAGAGGAACACCATGAAAATCAAGCTCCTTTCTTTTCTTTCAGTTGTTTTTTGAGGTTCTTAGCAATGTGGACTACTGCTTGCTGTTTTTCCTTTTCTTTTTTTACAGTGTATTCAGTGAATGCCTGGACATACATGCTTTTTAAGTTTGCTTCCACCTTTTCCCTCATTGATGCTGTAGACATTTTCTAGTTTGCCCCACTCTTTGGATCAGTGAAAGAAGAGAGGATATCCATTGTGAATTTATTTTGCTCATAATGTATCTTTATTATCTGTAATTCCAGGATGTATATTACCTTCTTTCAAAGTAAAGGTTATGTGCTTTGCATTAACAATTGAATCCTTTTCCATTTCTTCATTCTCTTGACTCTTTTATCAGATGTCACAAAAAAAAAACGTTAACACCTAAATACAAAAGGTTTGCTCATTTCCTTATAGTTAAACAGTTGTGTTGTGTAATTGATGTCATGAGCACAAACTAATCTTTTGAACAGGCACTTGACGAGGCACCACTCATGATAAACGAATACGCTGCATCCGAAATCACGTACTGTGACTGAGAAGGTACTACAATTGAATTTAATTCGTGACCAGTTAAAAAGTACATTCCATATAGTATGAATGTTGTTACTCTCACGTCATCTACCAGCGTCAGTTGCGTTACTTCGCTGCCATTCATAAATCCTCTCCCGTGGCCTCAAGGGATAGTAAAGTGTCTAGAATCTCGCTGGAAGTAGTAGGTCATCCGGGGACTTTTCACTTATGTGTTTCAAATACTATGTATTCAGACATGCTACTCTTTTTGCGTACTGTTTTTCGCATACTATACAGTAGGGAAGTATTTGATTTTGGACGCAGAGATTATGTATTTTTGTAGGCCAACCAAGAAAGTAGCTTCAAGCTGGTTTCCTTGGTGGTAATTATTTTTGGATTGTTGCAGAAAATAAGCTCAACATAAGTTCATGATTCTTACAAGTTTTGCTCTTCAAGATAATCTTCAAAAATTAACACCATTTATATTCTTTTTGAAGACTAAATATAGTCAGAAGTATAGTAAAAAAGCTAAAGGTAGTATTTACTACACCAGTCACACAACTTCAACAGCACCACATCTAATCTTCTGACAACTTTCAATCTTTATTTAAATTCTACAAGTTGGAAAGTTTGAGTTAGAATAGTTTACAAGAACACGTGTATAAACGCATTGAAAGTGAATTAGTAAGTATCTCTGTTGTCCCATTTAGCCACTTGTTAGCAACCACCTTATCCAAAACAAGTAAAATCTTGCAAGTGGGGTTTTGTATTTTATTTCATAAAATAAAATATGAATATATCTTGAGCTTGTGTTAACCACAGACCTTATTTGGGCATTTAAACAAACCCATTGACTTCGGCACGATGGAACCGGAAGTGCAAATATGCTTATTCATTGTTCAACTCATTTCCAGGTTTTAGGGCTTATTTCTGCAAAACTCTGTTCACAGCTGCTGTATTCTTTAACAAAGGTCCAAAGTCCTAAACTGCATCAGTGTCTTTCTTAATGTGTATCAGTATGTGTACATAACCTCTCCAAACAAAGTCATTCCTTCAGCCTGACTGTGACTGTGAATGTGAGGTTAAAAAATTTAAACAAGCTGTCCTGTAACTCTCCTCCCTGTTCTGGAAGTTTCTTTGCCATTCTAAATCATGCAGTAGTTAAGATTGTATAGTTGCTACAAAGTAGACTATAAATTAATGCATGTCAGATTATTTGGTTCTCAAAACAATTTAAAGTATTCATGGTTGATATATATATATATATATATTGTTTAATGATGAAAATGGCAACAGGGGAGCTAGTTTTTAGATAATTACCCCATTAAACCTCACCTGTCAAATAAAATTTTAATAGAAAAACAGTGATATAATCTTCACCTGGCCAGGTGAATTATTACATGCAAGAATGGATTTCTTAGTTAAACACAATGGGGTGTGTCAGAAATACAGAGCAGGTGTGGAACAACTTGTGCTTCCATTGCATTGTTGTACACCACACATGATTTTTTATACCATTGTGTGTTTAATACCCTGGCCATTATGTTGTCAAACCATTTGTATTCCAGTCAAACATCCGATGTGACATTTGGCAACAGGAGTTATATCTCTAGATTATATTGAGCTACTCATCATTAAACACATCTGCCCTTTTCAGCATACACCCTTAAAAAATAAAGGTTTCAAAAGGAGGTTCCCCAACGAACCTTTCAGTGAGCAGTTTTAGTGTACTTTCTTAGTAGAGAACTTTCTTAGTGTAAAGAACATTATTATTAAGCTAAACAACATTTTTCCACTATAAAGAACCATTTGTGCAATGTAAAGATTCCATGGATGTTAAAGGTTCTTTATGGAACCATCAATGCCAGTAAAGAACCTTTATTTTTAAGTAAAATTTATTCATGTAAGTTGTTGCATTCAAACTCAAGGCTCGTTCACACCAAGAACCATAACTGTATTAGCGTCCACACAAGTGGAAGATATCGCTCTATTACAGGTGTTCACGCCATGTCGTAATTACCGTAACTATTCGGAACTGTAAAAAGCCTTCACGTGCTTGTTGAACTTGTAATTACAATGTGTAAACTCTTACTTTTCTGAGAGCTACGACTTGTCCCACGTGACTGCTGTACCACCTAACCACCACTGCTGAGTTAAAGGGATAGTTCACTTTGAAATTAATTTTTGGTATGTTTTAGCTTACCTCAAGGGCATCCAAGATGTAGGTGTCTTTGTTTCCGCAGTAGTTTCAATTTTGATAATTTTAGGTCAAACCGTTCTTGTCTGTCAGTCATGTAATGCAGGTCTATGGTCACCACCTCAAAGAGCATGCACAGAGAAGTCCAAATTAAACATGATTTAATGACTCGTAAATGTTAGTACACATTGATGGCCTAAGACACGAAACGAGCGGTTTGTGTGAGAAAACGAACAGTATTTATATCGTTTTTACCTCTTATAACCACAGCCACGTCCAAGTGATCTGAGGGCACGGGCGCTTCGGTCTGCGCAAGCGCCGGAAGTGATCTCTTGCGCGTGTACGTCACTCATTATTTACACAGAGATTTCGGAAGTGAGGTGGTGACCATAGACCTGCATTATATGACTGACAGACAAGAACGGTTTGACCTAAAAATATCAAAATTGAAACTACTGCGGAAACAAAGACACCTACATCTTGGAATCCTCTTGAGGTAAGCTAAAACACACCAAAATTTTTATTTCAAAGTGAACTATCCGTTTAAGGAGTGAACAGGTCTGTTCGACTTCAAGAGGCGCTGCGCAGACCGATCGGTGTATTCGAAAGCGCACAGCTTTATTTACAGTAATTACGACATGCCATGAACGCAGCACATAATCGCTCGCTGCAGTTTTAGGCTTGTTCGACTTCATGCAGCGCTGCGCAGACCGATCGGTGGCTGACTTGAAGCAGTGCGTGCCGGTTAGAAGGTTTGTCCGACTTTAGATAGCGCCGACGCCACATGACTGTGATGTATGGCATCAAAATACCGCTAGAGCGGTTCGAGAGCAGCCGGCTGGTTCATTCTGCGCAGCTTCTCCAGAAGCGCCTGCACAAGCTCTGATGACGACAGAGCTGTTCCACGATTGGCCGAATCCACCGCATGACAACTGTGGATCCAACGATATTGTTTCTGTGCCGTTTGGACTGTTTATATTTAGAACGATTTTGGGAACTAGGCTATATCTTTATCGTTATAGTTATCATTCTTGGTGTGAATGTGCCTTTAACCCGTAAAGTCTATTTTTAAGCTTGTCATAACTGTATCTCAACACTGAAAACTAGCTTGGAATACTACATTCATCTAGAAATATCTACAAACTATCATACAAAGGCAATTAGCCCTTTGTTGCTTGTTTTGTCAGAGGAATAACGTTTTATTAATTGAAATTCTTTGTTAAAAAAAAAAAAAAGGAATCAAACTTGACAATGATCTTGTCTATAAAATTACCCTTTCAAATAAATATTTTGGGTAATTTGAGGTAAATTGAACCACTTATCCATCTATATTGTTCTCTGTTTACTTGAATTCACCTTATATCTAGAGTCTCTGAATTGAAGTTCTGACACAATAATAAGCGATAATGGAAAATAACTTAATTTGAGATAAACCTGTGACTATTAATGGGTTATTCTTATCTTTTTCTATATATACACCTTGACATTTTCAGTTCTGACAAAAACAGATTTCCTGCCAGCAGCTGATTCCACTTCCTGGGAAGGGATTAGATTAAAAGTGTGAGGTAAACACTGAACAATCATTTAAGCTGAATGCACCAACCAAGTTGCTCACAGGAAATCTAGATATGAGATCAAATATTGTATTTGTAAGGTGTTTTTCTCAGTTAAATGCTGTAGTATTTTGAAGTAAAAGTGCTGAAAAAACTGAGACGCTCAAAGTGCCTGTTGCTTCACTCTGAGAAAATTCAGAGTATCCTGCTCCAAAGTAAATCCAGTGCTTGCAACCTCATAAATGGCCACTTCAAAAAAAAAAAGGTCTTCAAATGTCTCCTGAGCAGACCTACTGTTTGAATGAGGTTAAAACATGCCATCTATTATGAATCCATGATGGAAAAATGAAGAAAACGATCTATCTTCTGAAGGATTCTTTCCACATTAAGACAAAATGAGACATTTCTCTTCTTCTTTCTTTGCTAAAAGCACTGAAAGCATCGACGAGGAGAAAAAGTAGAACTCTGCGGAGTAGCTGAGTTCATAGAGCTGCAGATTGACAGACAGCAACCATTCAAACACAGCAGAGATGTGCTTATAGTAGTAATCCTCATGGATGAAGAAGATGCCGTCTGATAAGAGAAGAGAAGTCATGGAGAAAAAACTGTTTCAAAACATTTCATTACTAAATATTTAATAATGGTAATATTTGATCAAACTTTTAACATCTACGGTCGCCCCAGAAGGTTTTCATCAGAGAACCCTGAATAAGAAAGGTTTCTGGAATAGCAAATCAGCATATTAGAATGATTTCTGAAGGATCATTCAGACTGGAGTAATGATGCTGAAAATTCAGCTTTGATCACAGGAATAAATTACATTTTAAAATATATTAAAGTAGAAAACTGTAATTTTTAATTGTAATAATATTACTGTTTTTACTGTATTTTTAATCAAATAAATGCAGCCTTGGTGATCATAACAGACTTTGGTAACACTTTTCAAAAAGGTTCATATTATTTAATGGACCTGAGCTGACAAACTAACAATGAATAGTTTAACTAACGTTAAGAAAGATTCATAAATTCTGTAACCGATTTATTGTTCATTGGTAGTTAACGCATTAATGCAATGAAGTATATAAGACTTTATCCAAGACTTCTTTCAAAAGCATTTAAAAAAAAAGGCAGCGGCTATTTGCACTAAGTGAAAATATCGATAGATTCTATTTACACTATGTAAAAATAGCAGTATTTTATTTGCAACCAGTGTAAATAGTAGTTAGATACTATTTGCACCTCAGTATTTTAGTACATTATAAAACAGTATGCAATAATAACATATTGAGTGTAAATTATTATATTTATTAAATAAATTCCGCCTTATTAGGACAATAAAGTCCTCCCTACACTTGCCCTAACCCTACCCGATAAACACTTTATTATTAAATAACTGTTAGGCACTTTAATTCCACTTTTCACATATTTTCTTTATATTTATTGAAAATAAATGCCTTTCCAATGTAATATGCGATGGGATAAAGGAAGCAGATCGAACTCGCGTCAAAAGTATCTTCTACTACGTGACTTACTCCCTATGGCTGTCAAATTACAGCCGTTTTTTTGTCCTTTTGTCTAGCCCAGCCAGACATTGCTGTGCGGAGTTAGTGTAAATAGCTTCTACTAACAAGGCGAGCTATTTGCACTTGGTGTAAATAGACACGCTGTAACTTTTGCATTGCATAATGTACTTTTTGAAACAGCAGGTTTTTGGTGGATGTAGTTCATCACATTTATGAAGCTTGACAACCAGAAAGTATTCAAATACATTTTTATCTTCATTTTGAACTGTAGGCCTATGTCTATTGATTTATAATGTGAATCCCATTAAACCTATTTTTATGAAATGTTTTCTTGGATGTGTGTCTAGGCCTTATTTATATAAAACACACATCCCTTACATAATGCAATGCCATTCATACATTTAAAGCTTTTCTTCAGTGTCCAAATAGCCTAGAGTCTAGACAATTTGGGTATTTGCAAACAGCGGTGACGTGTTTTGAGGGCGGAGCAGAAAATGACAGTTTTTCTGCCACCACAATTCCTGCACAACTGCAGTAACGTAACTGTGACATCTGCTCCCCAATGGTCTATAGGTCTTCATTTTCACCTACACTTCATAATTGCTTACCGTAGGCTTTTTGTATGCATAGAAACACTGAACAATAATTTATAAAAATAGCATTACAATGCATTACCATCAAAACATTTTGAGCATACAAGGATACAGAGGATGGTGGCAGAAACCTGGATAATTGTGGAGATGCTGCGTAGTGGGTAGAGAACCCGTTCACACCCCGTCATCACACATTTACTAGTGAGGGAGGTCAAGATGGTCATGTACAGACACACACACAAAAAGCTCAGGGCAGCACCCAGGTAATGGAGCAACATCAGCTCCGTTGGCTGTAAGAAAAACACAGGAAACAACATCTATCTGGTTGTTTCACTATAGGAGATAATGTGTCAGTTCATTCTGCTTTAGACAAACATGACTATGTGGGGATCACTCTTAGAAGAACAATGTAATTATAGATGTAAATAATTACAGCTGTAATTCTCTCTGTCCCCTCGCTGCGGGCCCCCAATCTGCCCGGGGCCATATGCACGTGCATAACCTGCATACCCAGACGCTACGCCACTGAGTACAATGTAAAACATGCATGTACACACATTAAGTGCAATGATGCATTTAAGTTAATACATAGTAGTTGAAGATTGGACACAACGGGGATAAAGGCACCTTTGATTTTATTTTCCTCTAAACCACTAAATGGCACAAAAACTTGCCGTAGCACTTTCCAAAACATCCGCTTTTCAAGATGCATGTGGAAATTCGGCTGATCCTTGACGCGATCGCAGGCAGCAGCGCAAAGTTTATTTTGCGCTAATTTGATCCAAAATTTAGATTTAAATAGCAAATGAGAATCCCTAAAATTATTGAATATATTTGGCCGTCTTAAAGGTTCTCTAAGCAATCCTGGGTGACGTTGTTGACGTTCGAACTATTGTCAAACAAAACGGAGGCTAGCTAGACCCTCCCTCCTCCTCATCCGCACACTAACCCCCCAAACCACACCCCCAAACCCTTCTTGTCGGTCATTGGCTGGAACAGTTTGTTATGTTTCGTGGTGCGGGTAAGCCCAGTTTGTTTTTGTTGCCGTTTGTGGAGCCTGGGCTGTTTGCAGAGACCGCGTTTTTTTACAGTGTGTTCAGGGGACAGGCAGCCAGCGGATAGTGAGGAGATGTTTGCTGTATGTGACAAAAAAAGGTTTGGCCTAAAAAACGCGTGACATCGCTTAGAGCACCTTTAATTATTTTCAAGCTAATTAAAGCTACTGTTTTTCTATAACGGAAGAATATGTAAAAGTATGGTATTTGGGGTAAATGGCACCCCTGCTGTTGGACTAAAGGTATAATAATTAACATGATAATAAACAGCTGGCTTTCCATTTGTTGACATGTCATGGTTAGATTCAGATGGTAAATATCATATATTAAGTTGAGTGTCCACCTTAGAGATTATCACCATATTTATAATGAAACCACCATATTTAAAAATATGATATTAATCATGTCATATAATAAAATATAATTTATTGTTACTACTGTAAATCTCTATTAAATTATTATGGGATCTCCTTCAATGCTTTCAGAATCTTTATTAAAATATTTTTGTTTCTGTATTTTAAAAAAATATATATATTTATATTAACATTTTAATGACTATATTTATTGAACAAAAAAAATAATTCTTTTATTTATCAAAATAAACAGAAAATAGTACAAACTTTGCTAAACTGATTGTTTTGAACAAGTATGAACAAGTATTTAGCTAAAGTATTTGTAACTATACTTTGTGCCTTTTGCTCCACCTTGCCACCTCATACATGTATAAGATTTTTAAACAAAAACAACTTTTATGATTTATTTTCACACAAAATCTGTTGCTCCATCAATGTTCAATACAAACATATATTTGTTTTCTGCAATCGTACTATGGCAGTAGTGAAAAGCACATTTTTCTTAAGAGTTTGTCTTTAGCCCCGTTGTACCCTAATTAATATGAAGTGAAAACTAGTTATTTCATGTGTAACGTGCATAACATCATGCATGTTTATTATATTTACACAGAGTACGCCTACAGGAAACAGTCTACCAAGCCTGAGAAGAGTTTGCTTTGTGACTCCACCTATGATCAACTTAACATGAATGCTTTCATGCTACCTATTATCTTGTAAAATACATGGTTAAGGAGCTTGATTGTTGTGTGTTTGTTAAGAGTAAGTGTTGTTAGACTCTCTTGTTAAGGCTCTTGCCACCTGAGAATTGATTCACCACATCGGCACTGAATCGTTTATTAGCTATACATGAGCAAGAAGTGAAATTAGTGAAGGGTATTCATCTGTACTTACATTGCAGTTTCCAGCCATGAAAGCACCCATAGACACCACACAGCCTAAAATCATAGCAATCTTACTGAGAAGAGAATGAGCATGGTTCCTGTCCAGGATGTGTGCATGATGGAAAATGCAGAAAATCAGAACTGTGGGGACAAAGAGAGGATATATTACACAGATTTTCTCTGCAGTGTGTTCGAATCACAATTCAATTCACTGTAAGTGATAAAGAGAGTCTTATGGACATTCTGTGCACTTTATTACACTACCAGTCAAATGTTTGGACACGCCTACTCAATATTTATCTACTCAATTATGGAATTAATAATATGATATTTTACAATTTATTAAAATATTTCATATATAAACTGGTACACAAATTAAATTATGGGAATTATGTAGTTCATCCCCCATACAAAGATGTGAACTAGGCCTATTATCCGAAAGTCAAATACACCCACACAAAAATGAACCAGCATTGATTGTTGCTGTGAATAGAGAGTTTTCCGGAAAATTCGCTCCACTTGTGCTGCAAAATAAGCAGAAAATGCCAGTCATTCCTTTGTATTATGAAGTAGAAAATAGCAGGTGTTTCAAAGGTCAATGTGTTATACAAACCTTATGGTGGGGACATTCTCCAGGGTGCAGCAATTCCCTGTTTCATTTGTTTGACATGAGTTTCTGTATTCCCTGTTAAGAAACCCAACAATGTTTTCATGAAGCATAAATGAAGGAAACATTAAATAATGCAGGTTGAATTCATCACTTTACCAGTTAGTAAGTGAGCAGACATGGTTGAAATGTAATGCAAGTCCATATCTGTAGAAAAAGACAAGAGAACCCTTTAAAACAAATGTCATTTTAAGTTAGGAGAAAAATGCTAATCCTAAAATCGGAACGGAAAAAGTTAAAATAGTGTGCTATAGGGAGTAGCATATTTTGTTGTTTCTGTATTCATTCTGTTCAGTAATTAATATTGTGCTAGTAAAGATCAGTGTTGGGTGAGTTACTCTAAAAAAAGTAATGAATTAGCTACTAATTGAATCTTCAACGGTGTAATTGGATTACTGTATCTCTAAAAAAGTATTGGATTACTTATTACTTACTAAATCCCATATCAACCTCCACCATTGAACAATACAAGGACAGATATGAAACTGCTCTATTGATTATTTCAAGTAAATAATATAAAGTTGCATTAATTATTCTGGAGCTGACCAAAGTATTTAAAGGGAGAAGGTTACATTAAAAACATACATTTTAACATTCAATTTTGATGTTAAAACCACTATTGTTTTATAGAATTGTTCTAGTCTATACAGTATACATCGAAAGTAACAGTAATTAAATAACAGAAAAATAAGAGTAATCCCTTACTTTACTTTTTCAAGGGAAAATTAATTAAATTACAGTAATCAGATTACTAAGTAAATAATTACACCCAACACTGGTAAAGATGCATAAGGGTTGTTTAATAAGTAACCAATAAGCCTGTTGATAGAGTATGACTCAGTTACACGAGAAATTATGAACATCTAACAATGCATGTGAAAATGTCTCGGATCAGACTCCCCTGATTAGATTCCCAAAGAGTAGAAAGACCAGCCTTTACTTGTCTTTGAGTTTTTCTGATCCTGACTCATGTTCGGTTACTGAGTTTAAAATATAATGTGCCATGAAGCTTATGACATCAGCACTGAAATTACTTGCCTCTTGTTGAGGTTTTGTTGTGAAGCTGGTTATGCAACCATTTACACGTCAGCACCAATGTCATAATGTAGATATTATAAATTATGATTGAAACATCATAAATTACGATTGAAACTAGTCTATCTGTCTGTCAAAGCAAAAACATCTAATGGTAATAGACTCTAATAAAAGCATCTTAACCTGTAACAAACTTTAGAGTTTTAGCTTACCTTGAGAAGCAGCATGTATTTGTAATAGGTCATTTAAATTGAGAGGAACAACAAATAATTTGGTCAACTCACACTGTCCAGCACCCGATGAATGAGACGGCACACAGAACAATGGGTAAAATAACCCAAACAGCCATGTTTCTTGGAGAAAGTTGCTTCAAGATGAAAGTAAAGTGCTGATAATCTCAGGAGTAATACTTCCACGGAGGTCTTGAAAAGCTAAACACGTCCTTTAACATCTTTCACCTTTTCTCCTGCCCTTACCAGTCTACTATCTCCTCTACCAGATGAGCTACATTCTTATATGCAAAAAAAAAAAAAAGCTTTGAGACATGCTACCACATTCAGCCACTCCTTAATGGTAATCACCTGCTTTAAGACAAGAAAATATAACAGCCATAAGACAACTTGGGTTGAGTCAACTCAGTCTTGCAGTGTTTACTTATGCTCTTACTCATAGTTGTCCTGAGTGCATGTTAGTTTAGAGCTGTGGTTCTCAAACTTTTCAGGCCAAGTTCCAACTTTAATCGAATCAAAACATCTACTGTAGATACCACCAAGTGACGACAATGCTCCCTCTAATTTTTTTAGCATTAGGCAAATTTACTTTCTTTGAATGCAATCGGTCTGTGCAATATAGTCTGCCTTATTTTGACTGATATCAATATTCCTGTAGTTCAGATAAATCTTGCTGCTGTAAAAGCCTCATCGGTGTCTTGATTTGCCCTTTTGTAGATCTGTGGAAAGAGCATACAAGAGTAGCCTCTAAAAACACAGAGATTGAAACTCGAGTCTGCGACTTGGACTCGAGTAACAGTTAAAGTCGCAACAAAAAAAAAGACTTGACTTGGACTTGAAGACATGCAGAGACTCGGCGAGTCGTGAAAAACACAAGTCATTTTGGTATGGCATTTCAGATTACGTTCTCTCTTTACTACCCCACATGTCAGCATGAAACACAACATTTTATTTTACTATTCTTAATGAATTAATGCCCTATCATTATCATGTGCTGCAGCAAGCACACCAAGCCAGCGTTATTATATTGTGCGTGACGCATCTGTGTCACTTAAGTTGAAAAGCAATCAATTAATCCAAGCAAGTTAATTTACATATGGACTAACGTTACACGCCGGTATTTTACCGCCCTGTCCGACTCATTTACACAGATCGGTTTGTTGAGTCAGGGTGCGTTATAATATCGCCTTCACACAAACGGGAATGTTGTTCTTTGTGTTGTTTACTTTAACGCTCGCATAGACTGTAAAAGGTTTTTGTTACCGCCGGCGCTCAATGGAAGACTACATTACCCATCACTGCTTGAGAACTACACCACACTACGGCAACTCAAATAGCTCAACATTTTTCTCGTGGTGACCGTCCCTGCATTCCAAATTGTATAATGTTATATATTTTGAAAGTAATTTGTTTTTTTTTTTAATTGTGAATAAATTTTTTTCTAAGTATGGTTTTGTGCTTTATTGGACATTTTTGAAGTAGAACTTTGTTTATTAAATATAATAACTAGCTGTAAGAACAATTGCTAAAAGAAATAGAACAAATACGACTTGTCTTGGACCCAAAGACTTGAGACTTGACTTGGACTTGGCCTTTAGGGACTTGTGAACATGTCTGACACACATACTTTAAAATAACATTTACATTTATTAATTTAGCAGACGCTTTTATCCAAAGCGACTTACAAATGAGAACAATAGAAGCAGTGAAACTTAACAATAGGACAACAATATGCAAGTGCTATGACCCTTTGCACTTTAATCTAACGTAGTACATGTACTTTTTAAGAATTTTTTTTAAAGATAGCCTAATAGATATAGAAAGGATTGAAATGTAGCAGCCTAATACAATGGTTATGCTCCATGAATTATATAATTACATATTTATATTAGTGCTGTCATTAATTGTTTGGGAATATTCACACATAATTTATACACATAAAACATGATATCAGAGTTGTAAATTAAACATTTTAAAAGAGAACAATACATGGCTGTTAAAACCAATGATCATTAAGCTGTGTCGTCAGCAAGTTGTTTCCCATCATGCTTTTTTTGATCAGCGCAGTCGGTGGAGACTGGAGAGCAACTGCGCGCGACTGCAGAATCCGACACGTGCGCCTTGCGATGGCGAGAGGTTTTTTGACACACATCAGCATGACATCAGAGCAAGGCGGACCGCACTCGGACGCATTTCTAACCGGCATGCATCTCGCGGTGATCACCGGTGATCGGTTCTGCGCAGATTTCGCTCATCTCAAACAAGCCTAATGTGACAGCTGCCTAATAAATAAACCTGCTGCTGTGATGTCATTAAAGATAATCAATTAAAGCACAAAAGAAAAATAGAAAATCACTGAATAACTTTTGTAGCTTTAATAAGGATTAATCTATATGTAATTTGTCATTTATGCAGTGAAGACTGTGTAGTAGGCCTATTTGATAACTTTATTACATTTTTGTAAATAGGCCTATCTTACCTGTTAGACCTATACAAATCTTAATGCTCTGTTTACAAGGTTACATGGGTCCAAAACAACAAAAACAATAACTTTGTGCTTTGTGACAGGGCAAGTAAAAAATCGAAACTGGTCTGACAGGGCCAATAGAAAACAAAAATTGAGCCCTGATAAGGGCACAGGTAAATTACATTTATTATAATATGTTTATGTGAAGATTGTTTTAAGTTTACTCTGCCTGATGAAGGTTGTGAGACCGAAATGTTGCTAATAAAACATTTTTATATTAGGCCTACTTGCGAGTACTGATAGTGTGCGGGAGTTCCTTATTTGCAGATTTGTCGACCTACCTATTTGGTCTTCTTTTTCGACGCACCTATCACCTGCAGGTGTGCGATGGAATTTGTTAATTAAGTTTACTTAAAATAAAAATGGTTATTCTTAAAGCCTAATAAATGTTCAAATGTATAGCTTTGAATTATACTGTAATGCTGAATGCCTATAAATTCATAGAGACATCGGTTGCAGTATTGGTATCGGTGATGCCATCTTTCGTAAAACTATGCCATTAAACAAATATTTAAAATATAGGCTATAGGCCTACTGTCTTCATGTTGTTTCTAGACTAATTTGGAGATTAAATGTGAAATTATTTAAATATAAAAAATATTAAAAACTTAGGTGCGATGGAAATTAGAAATGGCTATTGACAGTTCTTATTTTTTATGGAATTTTTTAAGACAAGGGCCCTCATGTGCCCTCTTTGTTTAAAATATCTTCCCCTCCCTCTTAAGTGACAAATATTTACCGATGACGTATTTACTGGCACGAGGAGGCGTGACAACCTGTCACACATGAGATCACAGCAATAGCAAATCACAACCATATCAATTCCTGACGGACAAAATTCCGCCCTACATTTTTTTTTTTTCTCTCATTCAAGAAGCTGTTTCACTCGGATAGGGAAGAGAAGACTATTGGTTCATGCCGACTATAATTTGATCGGATCACATGCAAACAATGGTCAACGTCCTGCATCCTGCATTCATTAGTCACAAAAAACTGTTACATTTGTGACGGAATTTCTGAATACAAAAATGTTAGACAGAATGTGAGAGACTGACCGCCTCGACTTTTATTGCGTGTTTTTCCCCCATAGAAATGGTGACTGGAACTGTCATTCTGTCTAATATCTGTCACATCTCCTTTTGTGTTAAATAAAAGAGAAAACTAAAGTCATAGATTTAGAATAGGTGACTAGTTAAATAACGATTGTTTTTAAAATGTTGTAAAAAACATTTTGGGGTGAACTATCCCTTTAAGAAATGAAGCGCGCATTAGACCACTTGCGCCTGGCATGCCATGTGCACTTTAGTTCAGTTGTTTTGCCGTCATTCACTCTGATTTCATACTCTTTGCGCAACCATTTTTATAAGCAATTTATATGTTAAAAATCACACACGACATGCATTAAACACACAAAGTCGTATTTTTGAACAGGAGCCTTATTGTCTGCCTCGGGGTCCTAAATTTCAAAACAATCGAAATGGCGGCGTCTATAAGATGGAGTCTATTGCGACTCGTACGGACACATCGTTTTAGGTTGGAAATGGCATACTGCATCTTTCACAGTATTTAAAAACGAAGATGTGTATTGTTACATAATAAATATACTGTCCAATGACGATAGTTCTAGGTTACAATGGTAACCGTAATTTCCACCAAAGTACTAACAGTCAAACGATTACCTTGGTTGACTTCCACTGTCATAAAAATACATTTAAATAATTTATATTGTTTGAATGAAATTCTATGGATTAATTTGATCCTCAATGTATTATGTTTTATTTATTTACTATTATTTTATTTATTATGGTAGTATTTGGCGTGTATAGCGTGCGTGGGGAATGTAATCACTTATATTCTCTTTTAGATTGCCTGTAAATGACCGAAATCAGTGCTATTCAATGTGGGCTTCCCACAGAATACAGTCTCAACAGTATAAATGCAAAGCATTCTCAGGTGAAGCATTTTACTTTTACCAGATATCCTCTTTATTCCATTTCAGATCACTTTGATGATTTAAAATTTGTATGTAATGCTGCTGAATTTATTTTGTACAGTCCTGTAGTCCTTCTGAGGACTTAATAGTTTTTTTTTTTTTTTTTTTTTTTTTTTTCAGTACGAATGATTTCAATTTCAACTCAAGACACACCTAACCCCAGAAGTCTAAAGTTTCTTCCCGGTAAGCCTGTGTTGGGGACAGGGACTCACGATTTCCCAACATCAAACTCAGCAGAGAGTTCCCCTTTAGCCAGGTAAACATGGTTTCGACTTTATTGTCTTCTTTCAAATCATAGTGTCCTTTTGCAAATAGGGATTTGAATGTATCATTAATTCTTCTGCATTGATTATCTGTCAGTTTGAGGTATTCAGTTGCTCTTGCATCCGTCAAAAGGCGTGCGTAGCCTTGCTGTGTATTAAATACATTTGTTGTATTCATCCAACAGGGATCTTTTCCAAATTGAAGGCATAAAAAGTGTCTTTTATGGCCCAGATTTTATCACACTGACTAAGGTAGCGTTCAGCAATTAGACATTCTGTTTTGATTGTTAGCGTGTGTTCTGAAGTACTGCATTTAAATTCATGAATATATTGTTACTTATTAAAGACAGATGATGATGTTGAATGGACAGACATTAAACGACATGCGACTGAGGTCATCACTAAGTTCTTTGAGAGTGGAAAGTCCATCACAATGGGAGCAACACATGCTGAGAGCAGTGAGCCAAACATTGCACAGATTGACTAAATAAATTATGGTGCATTATGTACTGTATTTGAACTGGTCTGAT